AGTGGGTTGGGGCACTGCCCACTATCACCCACAGAGCAGAGACAATCAGGGGGTTGGGGCGCTGCCACTATCACACTCAGGGCAGGGCCGATGGGGAGGTTATGGCTCTACCCGGTCACACACAGAGCAGGGCTGATCAGGGGGTTGGGGCGCCTTTCCCTGTCACGAACAGAGCGGGGCGGATAGGGAGGTTGTGGCCCCGCTCTTCACACACAGAGCCGCAGGGCGATCAGTGAGTTTGGGTGCTGCCCCCTGTCACGCTGATGCCGGTGCTGGGAGGCATATTACCCTTTTACTATATAGGATAGAGGCCTGGTGCATGGGTGGTGGCTGGCTGGTTTGCCCTGAAGGGTGTCCCGGATCAGGGTGGGGGTCCCGCTGGGGTGACTGGCCAGTCTGAGTGAGGGGCTGATAGCTGTTTGCAGCTGGTCACACCCCCTTCAGTGTGGGGGTCCCCACTGGGGTGCCTGGCCAGCCTGGGTGAGGGGCTGATGGCTATTTACAAGCTGGTCAAGCCCCCTACCCCCAGTGGGGACCCTCACACCATGGAGGTTTGGCCAGCCTGGGTGAGGGGCTAATGGCTATTTTCAGGTTGGCCACACCCCCTTTAGGATGGGGGTCCCCACTGGGGTGCCTGGCCAATCTGGGTGAGGGGCTAAGGGCCGTTTTCAGGCTGGTCAAGGCCTCCCGGCAACAAAAGCTCCAGCCTCTCCATTTTTTCTTTTTTTTATTCTGGGATTTATTTACCTTCTATAATTGAAATTTGTAGCCTTGAGAGCTCAGAGCTGGCCAGGGCAGGCAGGAGGGAAGCCTCCTGCTTGCTCCAGCTCCATGGCACAGCCAGCTGAATGCAGGTATCTGGGGTTTATTTACCTTCTATAATTGAAACTTTATTGCTTTGAGTGGAGCTCAGAGCCAGCTGTGGTAGCTGGGAAGCTTGACTTCCTCCATCATTGGGGCAACCAAGCCTTCTGCTTGCTCCAGTTTCGTGGCTGCTGGCCAACATCTTGGTTGTGTTAATTTGCATATAGTCACTCTGATTGGCTGGTGGGCGTGGCTTAAAGCATAGCAAAGGAAAGGTCAATTTGCATGTTTGTCTTTTATTAGTGTAGATACATATTTGTGTTAATATAGGATAGTTCATATTTTAAATTTTGTATTAGTTAGACTAATGGCTGTGACAAATAAACTTAAAGAGGCCAATCGCTCAAACACAATACAATTTCAATATTTTTTTCAAGTAAACTTTCCAAGCACTTTTAGAAAAGGAGAGTGGTGGGAGATAGGAACTTTATTTCATGAAGTCATTCTGGGAAGCATACAACTGAGAGATCTGCCTTCTTCAATACCAGATTTCTAAGACAACCTCGGGAAAGAAGCAGAGCTAAAATATAATATAATTACAGACATGAAAACAAATCCATAAGCTACATGTAAAAGAAGAAATTGAATGGAATACATAATACAGGGGCCAAAGGAAAACAGAAAAACTCTGGCCAGAGTGGCTCAGTTGGCTGATCATCCTCACATGCATTCAGAGGTCACTGGTTTGATTTCCCATCAGGGCACATGCCAGGGTTGTGGGCTCCATGCCCTGTGAAGGTGTGTGCAGGAGGCAGTTGATTCATGATGTTCCTCTCTCATTAATGTGTATATATCTCTTTCTCTCTCTCTCTCTCTCTCTCTCTTTCTCTCTCTCTATCAATGAATAAAATATGTTGTTATTTTTAAGAGAGGAACAGAGAAAGGACAGGGTTAGCAGCAGATGGGGGAGTTTTCCCCTGCAGTGGAATTACAGGGAGAAGGGCTTGTTGGTTGTTTGAGGGTGCCAAATCCCTTAGGGAGGCAAATGAAATTCTTCATTTCTTATAATTCTGTCCAGGAGAAGAGCTACTCCACCAGGGAAACCAAAACACCTCCTGCTCTGTAAACCCAGTGGATATAAAGGAGGAAAAGCCATTTTTATATTCAGGAGTTGAACATGAAGCCCAAGCAAGAACTGACTGTAACCAGGCATCTGACGTAATAGGTAAGGCTGACTAAAAGAATGTGTGATGTGAATCCCCGTACTTGGCAAGAGTCTGAGCCATTTAATCAGGGCCCTTGGACATAGTAATGGTGGCCTTGGCTTAAGGTAGAAAGGGGAGGGAACAAGTGTCTTATGAAGCGAGGTAAAAAAAAACATGTCCCCAGTAATTGGAAAAAATATCAAAAACGGAAATGGTAAATTTAAGTGTTGATATCAGAGTGTATGTTTCTATATGCAAAGAGAGGAAGGTATTGGGGTAGGGAAATTTTTCAGAAAATCAAGATATTCATGAAAGGAGATGAGAAAAACACACACAAAGAGAAGGAGTGGTATAAAGAGACACTTTTGCCAGAAATCAGCATAATTGCCAAAAATGAGCTGCACCAAGAGACTACATTTGGGGTGATAGGCGATTGATGCAGTGTGCAAATGATGTCTTATTCAGTTGTACACTTGAATCCTCTAAAGTTCTGTGAGGCAATGTCATCCCAATAAATTAAGTATAAAAATAATAAACACATTAAATATTAGCAAAACATATTTGATGCCATTTTGAAAAGATAGGCTTTATGTGGTATACTTCCCTTTGATCCATCTTTCTACCTTAAATATTTTGATATGTTTGGAATAAATCAAAGAAAGAAAGAGATAGATTGAGAGTGGATATATTAGAGAGTGGAGGTAAGAGAATGAGTGAAGATGGGAGTTGATATAGAATGGGCGTGGGGATAGCAGGTATAGTGAGGGTGGGCATAGAAGTGTGCTTCAGGTTGGGCAAAGCTGCGCTCTGTGCATGAACTTCACAACCTTCCGGTAGGGCCTGGAACAACCCGAAGGTCACACACATCAGCCACACACCAGAGGGACCTGAGTTAACTTAGCTTCTATGTCTTCCTACTGCTCCCATGAAGGGGTTTCCACAGAGTGGTCTCCCTGGCCCCACCCCAAGACACTGCGTGCTTTTTTCTTCTTTGTGCAGTGATCGACAGTCAGGACTTTGCAGCAT